CCATACTCTACCCATGCGTATATATAGCAAGCCAGCTATGGGGCCCCCTCGGGGCCCCTCACCTCCCTGGGGGCCCCCTTACTACCTGGGGGCCCCCTGCGTGCCTTGGGGGCCCCTCATCGGGGGCCCCCAACAGGGCTGCATGCAGGCAGTAAAAATGTTTGAAATCAATGAAAAAGATTAAACCCAAATTCAACCCACTATAACACAGACAAGGGCAAAGGTCTTCAGCCAAAATCTTCTGAGGGGGCCCCGGGTTGGGGGCCCCCCGTTGGGGGCCCCCGGTTGGGGGCCCCTGAAGGGGGCCCCTGGCCGCCAGCCAAAAGGGGCCCGAGCCGGGGGCCCTGAGGCAGACCCCCGGGGAGGACCCCTGCGTGGGGCCCCGGGGGGCCCCCCTGGGGGCCCCTCCTGGACCTCTAGGGGCCCCTTGCGGGGGCCCTTCGGGGCCCCCTTGGGGGGGCCCCTGGGGGGGCCCCTGCGGGGAGCTCCTCAATGGGTGGCCGTGAGGGAGGCCCCTGAGAGAGGCACTCATCAGGGCCCCTGTCGGGGCCCTCCTCAGCACCTGCTCTGCTAAGACACCTACACGGACCAGCTAGCTAGCTAGCTAGCTAGCTAGCTAGCTGGCTAGCTAGCTAGCTGGCTAGCTAGCTGGCTAGCTAGCTGGCTAGCTAGTTAGCGAAGACGGCGGCTAGCTAGCTGCAAGTAGCGAGGCGCCAGCTTGGCTTCTACCGGGTAGCTTCATCTGTGGGGCCCATCGTCTCTCCCTGGGTCCCCTTGTTTACAAACCCTAAACCCTAAACCCTAAACCCTAAACCCTAAACCCTCGAGGGTTTAGTTGTTTGTGTGTGTTTGCTGCTGAGGGTTTGGCTCTAAGAACACGGGCTTGAAGTCTGCTTCTCTTGCAGCCATTTCTGCTGCTTCATCTTTTGCTGCTGCATGCAGCAGCTCGTCGATGTCTCCTTTCATTTGCTGCTGCTGCTGCAGCGTGAGGTGTATGTACACCGGAGAGGTCTCGCTCAGCAGCTCTTGCTGCAGCTGCTGCTCCGGCAGCAGCAGCAGCAGCTGCCGCTGCTGCTGCTGCCACGCAGACACGAGGCCCCACGGAACCCTCAATAAGCCGCAGCTGAGAGGAGAAAGCCCCAAAACTAACAACGAGTGATGCATGCGCTGCAGCTGCTGCTGCGAGAAGCAAAGGCGTCGCCGCGGTCTCTGCAGCAGCAACACATACACACGCATGCACACAGTCTAGGGGATGCTGCTCCTGCTGCTGCTGCTATTGCTGCTGTTGCTGTTGTTGCTGCTGCTGCTGCTTATGCTGCAGTTGCTGCGTCAAGTGCTGATCTGCTGCTGTATCCGGTCCGGTGCTGCTGCTGCTGCTGCTACTTTTGCTGCTGCTGCAGTTGCTGCTGCTGCAGTAGCCAGTTCGCTGTGGCCTTCAATGTTCCTGCTGCTGCTCTGCAGCAGCAGCAGCAGCAGCAGCAGCAGCAGCAGCAGCAGCAGCAGCGGGTTTCTGCTTACAAGCATCTGCTGCTGCAGCGCCTCATGCAGCTGAGCTGTACATACACCCAAACGAGCGGTGCAGCCCCAAACGGAGACAAGTGCATGCGCAGGCAGCTCGTGGGCCCTCGAGGCCAGGTGTCCGTACAGCACAGACAAACCCTGCAGCAGCAGCAGCAACAGCAGCAGCAGCAGCAGCAGCAACAGCAATCAAGCATATGTAACAGGAACAGCAGCAGCAGCAGTGGCAACCCCTTTAACAGCAGCAGCAGCAGCAGCACCAACAGCAACTGCAGCAACATCAGCAGAAACAACTGCAGCAGCAACAGCAGCAGCAGAACCACCAGCAATAGCAGCAGCGGCAGCAGCAGCAGCAGCAGCAGCAGCAGCAGCAGCAGCAGCAGCAATTACCTTCTTGTCAACAAAGCTGTTGGCTGCAGCACTCTC